CTTGAATTTTAATACAAAAGTTTTAAACATGATTGGATTATAATAATTTTATATAATTATATCTTTTTCTCGTCCAAGATAAACTGTGAAACTTTAATTTAAAATAAAATTTTTCTTTGTCCAATGTTTGTTTTTAAGAAAATAATTAAATACAAAAACTGAATATCTTGCATTTTTAATTAATTTTGTAATAGCATATATATATATAAAATTATCTTTTGTTTAGAGATTACGTACTAAAATATTATATTGTTTAAGTCTACGATAATACAAATAACATAACATATCGATACATGTATCGATCTATAATAATATATATTACGTATGTTATCAAATTTACAAATTATTTTACAGCAACAAACCAATGGTTTGTACCGATCACGAAGGGAGATATACCGCCAGGTTGTGCAGCATATGGCTTTGTTGTCGATGGCACGCGGATCTTGGTTTTTGGTGGAATGGTAGAGTATGGCAAGTATTCGAACGAACTGTATGAACTTCAAGCAAGTCGATGGGAGTGGAAACATTTGAAGCCAAAGCCACCTAAAATCGAACCACCTCCCTGTCCACGATTGGGACATAGTTTTACTCTCATTGGTAACAAGGTCTTCCTGTTTGGAGGTCTAGCAAATGACAGTGATGATCCAAAAAATAACATACCCAGATATCTCAATGATCTGTACACGCTCGAGCTTCTTCCAAACGGTCAGACAGCTTGGGAGGTGCCCCAGACACGCGGACACGCGCCACCTCCCAGAGAATCCCATACTGGCGTAGCGTATACTGATCGTAACACCGGCAAGTCTTGCCTAGTAATTTATGGTGGTATGAGCGGATGCCGTTTGGGTGATTTGTGGTTTCTCGATGTGGACACGATGACCTGGAACAAACCAACGGTTCACGGACCTACTCCTCTACCACGATCACTTCACACTGCCACTTTAATTGGTCATCGAATGTTCGTTTTTGGCGGATGGGTGCCATTAGTCGTCGATGATGTTAAAGTCGCAACGCATGAGAAAGAATGGAAATGCACAAGCACACTAGCATGTTTAAATCTTGGTAAGTTATATTTGACGATAAGATATATATTTAAGTTTTTTGTCTCTTTCAATAATTTTTGTGTTGCTGAGAGAGTATATGTATAATGTGCATAACAAATTTTTATTGTTGAATATATACGGTAAGAATTGTTTGTGATAAATTTTATTGACAAAAATCACGCCAACATAATACAGAATATAGAAATTGTTCTGATTGTTAAAGTATATATAGAATATAGTTGATATACTGAAGTATTTTAATAAGAACCTAACGTTATCAATTTAAATGAGTTGTTGAAGAAATTTATTTGCAAAGATGATTTTGTTTTTAGAGAATCGCACACAATTGTGCTATTACTATTCATATCAAACATTGTTATAGAAACACTTACCTGGGAGCAACTGACCGTCGATTCTATGGAAGAAAACGTCCCACGTGCTCGTGCAGGACACTGCGCAGTTGGTGTGCACAGTAGACTCTACGTATGGTCTGGAAGAGATGGTTATCGTAAAGCTTGGAACAATCAGGTTAAGATTACTTTTAATTGCACAGAATTGTTTTATGGTGGAGTGGTGGTTCGATAATTTATTTATTTATTTTGTGTTTCTTACAGGTCTGCTGCAAAGACTTGTGGTATCTCGAAGTTAGCAAACCAGCGCCGCCTTCCAGAGTCCAACTTGTTAGAGCTTCTACACAGTCGTTAGAAGTTAGTTGGACAGCGAGTCCATCTGCTCAATATTACATCCTTCAGATACAAAAATATGACATGCCACCGACAGCAACTGGGACCGGATTTCCACCGACGAGCGTACCAGCGCCAACCACGGCGCCTGTTGTCAGTACCACTCCTGCGACAGCGACGACTCCAGCGATAGTAGCGGCAACTCCAGTGGTGACTCCAGCAACGATTCCCGTCACGACTCCGCCCGTGACTACCGTTGCAGCTCTTCCTCCGACCACTTCACCCGCTGCTGCTGCTACCGCTAGATCGTACGTAGTGGCGGTAGCATCATCTCCATCCCGAGTCCAGCCTACCGTGCAAAGTCCCGTGCAGAAGGTAGTGCCAGCAGCAATACAAAAACCAACAAGTCCTCTGACCCCGAGAGTCGCATCCGGCAACGTCATACGAATTCGTACTCCTCACGTCGCGTCTACTCCAACGGCAGCAGCGACGGCAATGGTTGCTGTAGCTACGACCGAACAGCAGGCCACAGTAACTACTACAACAACTGTGACATCAGGCCAAACACCCGCTGCTATGTCCGGAATTGCTGCTTTGGCTGCTGCAGCAGCAGTTACCCCGAAGATCACAACCATGAACAACGTTCCCACTATGCAGACCGTAACTGCAACTGCAACAGCAACTGCGACCACGACCAACACTATAAAAATGAAGAATGTACAACCTGGCCAGCAGATACGCTTTGCTGCTCCTGGCTCTACAGTGTTGCGCACCGCATCGCCCCAGCAAAGCAAACAGATCATTTTGCAGAAACCCGGTCAACAAATATTACACCTTGTAAAGACCCAGCAAGGCATGGTAGTGCCTACCAAAGTGAGCCTAATTCCTAGCAAAGGAGCTGTCCAGGCAACCGGCACGAAAGCGCTCAGTCAGGGACCGACAATACTGCGTCTGGTGAATCCCAATACTGTGCAGGGTGGGAAGATCATGACTATGAAAACGTCCGGCATAGTAGTGAGCAAGGCACCAAATATTGCCGGCAAACAAACTATAATGATCACCAAACCTGGCGGCAATGGCGGTTTGGTCGGCAGAACCAATCAATTTATAGTTGTTACAACCGGTTCAGGTTTAAGAGCTGTACAGGCTGTGACTACTACACAGGCTGGTGCAGGACAAGGTACAACTCCGGTAAATGTAGTACCGCTATCAGCTGCAAATCATGTCACGAATCAACAAGGAGTCAAAATGATTGTTGTCTCCTCGGGTGCGATGGTCGGCGGAACTGCTGGCAAGCCTATAACCATCACGGTTCCGGGACAAGGTGGTGTGTCAAAGACAGTGACCATTGCTACGAAGGGTAACGCCCAAGCTATCCTTAATCCTGGCAAAGGTCAAATTGTTACGGTGCCTCAGATACAAAAAGCTTCTGTAAGTGTATAAAAACATCGAATAAATTAAAGATATAAATAATAGAATAGCTCTTAACACAAGTCCTGTATTTTATATTATAAAACTCTTATATTGTACTAAAAATTACTTATGGGTTGTAGGAAGCTGTAACAGTATCTGGGAAGCCAGTAACTCTGCAAATGTCCGGAGGCATAGGTGCGAAGACAGTGACGCTCATGCCTACAAGTAGTTCCATAGTAACTACTTCAGGCACGTCCGATTCACTAGATACTAGTAAAGTGCTCTTCGTTCCTACTTCACAGAAGCAGCCTTCAGCTTCGTTAGGTAAGTTAAGTTCCGTCTAAACGTATGTTACGTGACAAAAATATTGTTACATATTACAATGTTGCTTCAGCTTCTACGTCTGATGGACCTGCCACTACTGATGCAGCTTTAGCTGCATTAGCAGCAGAGGCAGGTTTAATAGATCCTGTTCAGGAACCATCCGGAGGTTTGTCTTTTATGGTAGCCACTGATGATGGTGCTGGCGGCGATGATAAGATGGATGACAGTTGTAACGGAAATGAAGCGACTACAGCAGCTGCTCTGGTTTCTCAAATAGGCGCGGGCGAGCCGATGCAAGTGGATGGCGATGGAAATTTCATACTTCCACAAGTGGACGGTCCAATGGATACTCTTTTATCTGACGACGAGAAGATGGATGCGGACGAGGAGCCTACCCTGCAAAATGTCACAGAATCGGCTAACGTCGACGAATCAGCAGCAATCGCTGAACAAGATCCGCCAGAAAATGTTCCACTGGAAGAATCTATCTTAAAGGACGAAGTTGCTTCGTCTGAAGCGACAACAGTTGATCTTCCTGAATCGGTCGCTGTCACCGCCGACGAAGCTCCTGAAAAAACGGAAGGAAATACCGTTGAAAATCAGTCAAACGATACCGAAATGAGCACCACTTTGGATACTTCTGATAATGCGGAATTGCCAATTGAAAAAGAAACAGAGGATAATCTTAATCCGTTGGATGAAACTAAAGAGGCAAAGTCTGAGTTGCCTTTATTGCAATCACCTGCAGAAGCTTCATCTGAACAGACATCTCTGACGGAGGTCGCAGATCCGGCAGCGGAAACTCAACAAGATGAAACCACTGTCGTGAAAGACGAAAAGAGTGAACCGTTTGACGAAAAAGAAAAGTTCTTGGAATCTATAAATTTGCCTACTGAGGATACAGATATGCCGCAGCTCCCACCGGATGAAGTTCAAAACATTGAAGAGAAGAAAGAACCAGAAGCCGATCTTCCGGTCGAAAGTTCTCCTCTCGTAAAATCCGAGGAGACCCATGAGCCGATGGATACCGATGATATTAAATCAACTTCTCCGATAGATACAGCAAATATGACGCCAGTAACGACTTCCGTTGCCACGCCGAGCATACAAATGAAACTCGAAGAGAAAGAATCTGTGGACGAGGAGAAATTAACCGAACCACCGGTATCATCGATTAACGGAGTCGCAACGCCTCTCGAGAAAGAAACGGAAAACGTAAAGAAAATACATACTCCTGTAAAAATGGATATACCAGACGATTCTGTTATTCCAAAGAGAGAAACTATGAATCAGGAAAAGATTAACGACGCCAGATCGGAGACTGGTGACGATTCGACGGCTTTAACAACATTGGCTACTGCCGCTTTAGGATCGGCAGAGTCCGCGGTCAAAGTTAAAAATGAACAGGTATATATCTTATTATTTCACGTCTAACTGTTTATTATTATATACAATATATACCTAACGTTATGTTTAATATTTTTATAGAGCGAAGAAGAAAAGAAAGAGGCAGAATGGTATGACGTAGGAGTGATAAAAGGAACCAATTTTACAGTTCAACATTATTTTCTTCCTGGTGACAAGCCTTTAGATATAACACAGTCTTTGACTATGGATGTTTTTAAAGACAGATCTAAAGTATCACTAGAACCCGGAACTGCCTACAAATTCAGAGTAGCCGCTGTGAATAGTTGTGGACGAAGTGCCTGGAGCGAGGTAACAAAAATATAATTCGTCATCGTGTGCAGTTATTCAAGTACAAGTAATTTCTTTGACATAATTAAAATTCTTTTCACAGGTAGCGGCATTCAAGACGTGTCTTCCGGGATTTCCGGGTGCACCGAGCGCAATAAAGATTTCGAAGTCCGGAGACGGCGCACAAATATCTTGGGAACCACCGCCCAGCAATGTTGGGCCGATACTCGAGTATTCTGTCTATCTAGCAGTGCGAAGTACCGCACTGAACAATGACGGAGAATCAAAAACGGTCGCGTCGACACCAACTCAGTTAGCTTTTATTAGAGTCTATTGCGGTTCGAGTAACTCCTGTTCAGTGAACAATAGTGCCCTTAACGCCGCTCACGTGGATACCACTACGAAACCGGCCATAATATTTAGAATAGCAGCACGAAACGACAAGGGATACGGACCGGCCACTCAAGTCAGGTGGTTACAAGGTGAGTTGCACGCAAATTGTTCATCCAGAAAAGATCTTGAAAAAAAAAAAAAAACGACGAAAAATGTATTTTCTACAAAATATAAATATCTGAACAAACGCTTCATTTATCAGCAGATCCACAACATCATCCGCATCATACAACCACCTCCGTAAAGAATCCCCAGCAAGCGAAAAGACCCGCTCTTACTGAGTTACGCGCGCAAGGAACTTCTCCGCAGAAGAAGATGCGACTCGATACAAGCAGTGATAATTTTTCGTGAGCCTGTTTTAAAACGCATCCTGGCCTCGTACAGCCAAAACTTTCGCAAACGATGCTACTCACTATTTAATTTCTTAATACGCCTAACAACGATGATGAAATCAGTGAATGGTTTTTCTGGCTTATTCGTATACCACATATGATAAATATAATATATGCTAGTATTTTTTAATGTGATATACGAGTAGATCAAAAAAAAAAAAAAAAAANAAAAAAAAAAAAAAGTAAACACGCAAAAATGTGTGAGAGATAAAAGAAAAAGAAGAGAAAAGAAAGAAATGTCCATAGATAGAATCAATCTAAGTGTAAGGATTGAAAAGGAGGAAATTATTTTCAGTGTTCTGTGCAAACGCAATATTCTGTACCGTGTTTCGTGTTCGCCATTTATGTTGCGATTTTTTTTTTTCACAAAAATGCGCCAAAATTTTTTATAAAAAACAATGTGTAAAGCTGGCGCGATTGTGCGCGTATTCACGATTCATGTTACACGTTCGTGAATGCGGAGGAAAAACAAAATCGCTAATTCACAGTGAGTGCTTGTCGAGTTTTTTGCCGACACTCAAAGGAGACGAATCGAATCAATCCAGTCATGTCTTGCTCTGTACTATGCGTCAAAATTCGTGCTTAAGTACATTTGTTGTCGAAGTATATTACGAACGACAACAACAAACTGTGAATTGCAAATACGTAGTGCGGAAAGTTCAAAACTTTCCTGCGAATCTATGAATCGCGCATAGTTTAACACAAGCTTTTAGTATTATCTTTAAATTAAAATGAAAGAAAAGTATTTCTTTTAAAGTTGGACAAGAGGTTTTTCCATGTTTATAACCTTTTTCTAACACGACGGTACGACATATCGCGCATCCATTCACACAGAATTGTCCATCAAAGACATGAATAATTCACAAGTTTCTCAGTTTTATGAGTTTTTTTTCTTTCGTTGTTGTAGCAATCGATGAATTCAATGTTAACGATCTGTGGAAAAAAAAAAAAAATAATTTGAACGGAACTCGCGGATTTTGTTCGCGTATTTGTTTAATAAACAATTACAATTATATAAATACATATTCGACAAAAAAAACTATTTTAATCTAAATTCCTTATAGTATATATATATATATATAATATATTTATCATTACTGAAGCATCTGCGATTCTTTTTACATTTAATATCGTATACAGAGAAGACTCGCTTTTGAGATGTAGGTATTTAGTGTACATAAAAAAAAAAAAAAAGAATTTCTCTCACACACTGAAAAATGTGTCTATCATATTCTAAGGCAGTGAAATAAATACTTTTTGATAAGGTAGAATAATTGGGAGATGCGTATACAATTGTGTCTGACCTTTTTTAATTATAATCTCCTATTTTCTGCTCGTTTGTTTCAGTTTCACATATAAATGAGCGAATGTTTCTTTTTTCTTTTTTTTTTTTTTGTTGTTGCTTGTCCAATCAATCCAGGTTTACACGTGACAATCGGTGCTACATTTTTAATCCGGAATAAACTTTTGTTACTGCCAAATGCAACAGGAATACGTTTATCAATATGAAGAAAAAGCAACACGTCAACATATTAAAAAAGAAAATGTTTATTATTATATTATAAATATTACGTGTAATACTAAGTTAACTCTCTCTTGTATGCTTTTATCAAACAATTGCAACGATGCAAAGATATTTTGTATAAAAAAATAGATTAAATATATATTATATATAAATATATATATAAATATATATATATATATATATATTATTGTATGTAATATTAATGTGAATGTCTTTAAGGTCGGGTTCTAGGGTGATTTATCGATATTTTAGCGAATAATAAAAAAGATTCCAAGGAAAGTTAAGGATATTTTTAGACGGCAACGAAACAATTGTTTGAATACCGGTGTGTCTGAATAACGGTAGACTGTGTATGTCTTAAGACGTAAATTCTAATCTTTTACAGTGCTAAGATAAATATAAACAATGAGAATTGATGTGTGCGAAAGGAAAGAGGTAAGACATTAATAAAAAGCACATGTTATCGCATAATTAAAGAGGGACGTGTAATATCCCTAACTTTTTTTGAGCATATACATATATATATATATACATATATATATACATATATATACATCATTATATATATATATATATATATATACACATAATGTGTATATATATATACATATATATATATATATAAATAAAATAATATATATATATATATATATATATAAAATATAATTTTAATCAAAAACAAATACTGCGCGCAAGCAGCTCTTTGTTTAACAAAAAAGAAAAAAAAAAGAAACCGAGATGTGTTGATTGCAGAAGCTGTCGGCGGTCCTGTATTACCTCTCGGTCAATTTCGGGGCTATGTTGATGCTGCAGTAATTTAATTAAGTGCACATTTTATTTTATATGTGTATAAAATATATGCCTTCTGTTATTCATTCATAGCAATTAAGCAACACCAATTATTAACACGGCGTTCTGAAACGCTTAATCTGTTGTATTCTAGAGTTTTACGTGTTAACAAAGTTGACTTTGCTAGGAAATATGTTAAATCTGAGAAAGATCGCCATTATATAACACGAGTGCTTACAAAGTACTCCGAACCAACAGACTCTGCATAAAAACACGATGTACAATTGTTTACTTTCTAAATGGGATGTAAACTTAGAAGCATTTTTTCTGGGAGTAACGAATGAATATATATGACGATGTATAATGTAAATGGGACATAACTAAATGGTATTTACTTTTAAAATGCATTGTTTTAATCTCGTTTTTTTTTTCTCTCTCTCTTTCTCTAGCTAGGAGATCCTCCAACATTTCAAAAGGAAAGCGCCACGAATTGTATTATTATTAGTAATCGTAATAAGAAATCGTTATTATACACCTGTTTTGATTTTCTTTGTACATTCGGTGACAGGAGAGAATGTGACGCAACTAATCTGCGTGCAAGTTTTGTGCATGAAAGTTTCTCTTCGAAAATTGTCACCACGCGTCTCTCAATGGTAGGTTCTTTGTTTTATATAATTCGTGCTAAACTATTACAATTTATACTCTTCATGCAACAAGTACCGAAGTATGTCGTGCAAATAAATAGATAAATTTCTTATATATAATACAAATACATCTTTACCTTCATTACATTTTCTGTTGCTCCGTTCATGCTCGTGGAAAATTAGAGACTACCCTAGTTTCTAATTTTCTAACGCGAATCTCATATATATTTTTTACTTTGCGCATGTAGATTATTAGTCTCTTTCCTATTTATTTGTTATATGTACAAAAAAAAGAGCATGATAAAGATAAACCACAAAGAAGCACAAGTATCATCTCCCTTAAGTAGAATCAGTGCATTGCATACTGAAAATCAGTAAATATTTGACTCAGTGGAAGACTTGTAACTACTGAATCAGTAAATATTTGAACTGATTTTCAGTGCAATGCACTGATTCTACTACTAAGAGAGCAGTTACAATTAAAACTTTACTAATCGTTTTTTTTTTTCTTAGTATTTCGTGTTGCCTCTTCTTAAGACACTTTGCTTGGCAGTAATGAAAGCGCACGTATTTATTGATTTTATTTTGTTCTATGTGAACACAATCGAAAATATGAATATATACACATGTAATGAAAGAATAAATTAATTACTAATTTACTTCTCTGTATGATATTAGTAATTAATTAGACTGTGCTGCTTTTTTCGAATTAACAATCACGTGTGTCAACGGTTGGACCGAATTGATTATAGGACACTTGTTAATATTTTATACATTTTTTCTCTCCGAAAACGTTAGAATTTTCGTTATTTAACTGAATCGAAATTCTCTGTGTTATATTTTTACCGCAATTCGTTAAAAATAGATGAATTGAATCGACAAGTGCAACATTTACTTATCTTGTGCATTTCGGTTTTTTCTTAGCAAACATGATTGAACGAACGCAAGAAAATCTCAATCTGATCACGAGAGCTGTACGAGTGGCCGAAAAGAATCCAATGTCAGCATCGGACCATAATTTTACTACAAACTCCTTTTCTATACACTAGTTCTTTAAATGATACCTTTAAAGATGCGCGGGGTGATCGATCACGAGTACGTGAAAATTTCGACGAGATCGCGGCGGGAGAAAGTGATTTCGCGCGCTAGCGTAATAGGATAATAAGAGACGGAGTGCGCGCCGCGACGATGATGGAAATATAATTTGGCATGATGCGGAGATAAAAGAAGCGGAGACGATAATATATCGCACCAACGCTCAACGTGCAATGACACTCTAACGAGATTTGTATTTTTCTGTAAGGATCGCCGGTCCTCTGATACGCAACAAAAACTAGGATACTTTCGAATAATTCGATCTACAATAGCGGGGACGAAAGTTTCACGATACATAATGACAGATAAATGTAAACTATATACCGTTTTTGTAATAAGCAACCACAAGGAGACCGCGTGTGTAAATCGGAACGATGCGTGTGAGAGGAAATTGCTGCGAGAGAGAAGATGCATATCTCTGAGATTGAATATTTAAGCGAGTTTGAAAGCGAGGAGGTGAGAGGTGCGCGCTGTGTGTGTGTGTGTGTGCGTGTGTGTGTGACTAACGATTGACGTGTCTCGTACGCATCTTCTCGAGATTTGCAAACTGTAAATAAGTCCTTCGAGTCGCGTTAGGTAATACACGGATGTCGCTGTGTTTACACGGAATTAGCGTGCCTAATCGCAGACCTGACACATGCGAAAACCTTTCATTGTGGAATTGTTTTGAAAATGTAATGTTACTCATGAAAATATTTATATATATATATATATATATATGTATACACATATATATAAACGAAAGCGCGCTTTGTGTGCTCGTCCTGGCTATTTCTTTTGTTTCGCAATGCGAAAGGCGTTAGATAATCCGCATACTCGAAGTGAAAGAAACTCTTTCAAACAATCAGATGTATTTTTTTATATAGATTTTACGTCATGGTTTTTATAAAAAGAAGAAATTATTCGCGCTGTCTCGAAAATATATTGCTCCTTTGTTAACGCGATGTTTAGATTATTATATGAAACATAACGTAGGGTCTGCGATTGAGACGTCAGCAGAAAAATCAAGAAACACACAATGAGCCTAACTCCGAGAATTGTCCTTTTGTTATAACGAGTTTATTTGCACACCTAAATTGTGACGTCACACACGTTAAATATCATCCATTCGTTCGTATGCATCGCCGTATATTATTCTACTTTTAGAATGCTGATTAGTGCAATATATCTGCTAGTTAAAAAAGTTTGGACGGGAAGTATCGTCTCCCTCTCTCTCTTTCTCTCTCTCTCTCTTGCTTTTATATATTGCACCGTAAATTTAGTTGCGCAATGTGCACAATAATGTCACTGTAATACGCGTCGTAACTCTCTTACATGTAGCACACGACCGCTACTCATCACTTTGACAATAAATCAATATAAAAAAAAAAAAAAAGAGAAAATATTAAATTTGTATCAAGGACAACTACGTTTGTTTTCGACACGTATCTCTCATTATTTTAAAATTCGTCAAAAAAACGTAACACATCTGACACAGTTTCGAAATTCAATTTAAAACATCGATCTCTACGTACGTACTTACGGTCTTTGCCAATCAACTTTCCGTTACACGCGTTGCGACCGAATGGATTATTTTCATGCTCCGAAGGATGATCCAACGTTCGACTCGCGAAGTATCGGTGTAAGTACCGGGTATATTATCGGCTTGTGCGTGTGAGAAATATATACTATATAGATCGAAAAGTGACCCTTATAGATCCATCTCGGGCGTTCGATAATTGACACGACGCTGAAAAACGCAACAGATCTATTAAATTTATGATATATTTTATTTCTGTTTGCAAGAGCGTAGCCATGCAAATGCGTTGTAATGTAAAGAGAAGATGTGTGTGGAAAATCGAGAAGGGGGAAAAAGAAGTGCACCATACGCAATCGGTTTGTTCGCTTAGATTTCGAAATAGGTTTCGTGCGCGGCTATGACGCATCGCAAATCATCGACGCAAATTAAAATGCCTCTCTCGCTGAGCTAAATAAATAACACCGAATGAATTAACAACTTTCGAAAGAATTAATATCACTTTTGTGTGTATGTATGTGTGTGTGTTCTGCATCATTTATTATCATTCAAGGCATATAAAATCGATACAGTAATAAAAAAAACAAAAAAAATTGACCAAATACATAAATCAGAAAGTTTAACAAAATACCTAGTTGTGTAATAAATAATATTATTAAGATAATGTAGACGATAAGTTAAGTTTCCTTAATGAAACGTCAGAGATTGATGTAAAGGTAGTCAATTTTCAGCAAAATATAACATTTATCTCTGTCGAGTTTCCATTTTTCTAAGATTTTATGAGAAAATTTAAAAAAAAAAATCATAAAGTGCGTGCGTGTGTGTGTGTGTGTAAATCGAGATAGAAAATCAATTATATTTGATAAGGAAACTATTGCACAAATGAGTAATAGTACGTGAATGTTGCTATACTGCTGGTATAAATAAGTGCCACGCGATATGGTTTCCGATTACGAGCAGAAGCGTGTTTTATCAGACTGGTGTTACTGGTTGCGATCGCACTCTCGTCAAGATAATAAGCGAACAAACCCGCGATCCTCGCGTCAGTGTTATCCTGTTTACGGACAGGATCGCCACCTGTCCCGAACGATTCTACGTCTCAATCTCGAATGGTATTCTGTGAAAAACTTTGTGTTAATTAGTTGATCAGAAAAAAAATTCGTATGCTTGGTGCCGTATATATTCGGTAAGTTTTTTGTTTCATCACATCCGCGACATATTTTTGCGCTCCGATCGGCTATGAATTTTCATCGATGGAACAGTGTTAAGTAAATATATATATATATATATATATATATATTATATATATATATAATGTGATGGGAGGATAAAATAAATGTGACTTTTGTACATGTGCATTCTTTATAGACGTTCACCTGTGCTCATCCGTTGAAATTCCGGCTTGCTTAAAAATAAGAGTGCAATTCTACGATTTAAAAAGGTATTTATATATCAGTTCTTTTTTTAACTTTATTTAAACTAAATATTTAAATGTTTAACCGCATGTACAATAACTTTTAAATGAAAACAAGAAAGTTATTCTTCTTTATTTTGTTGTAACATATATCCGTCAAATTGTAACGCATGTAGAAAACAGCACATGGTATTATGTACTCATTACTTGTGAAAAGAAGAATCTTTACTTAACATTTCACAATTTTTTTCGTAAGTCGTAAATCTTCCACGTCGAAGTAATCTTTTGATCGACTTCGTATATATATTTACATGTAAAAAATTGTTCGGTTCGTTTAAATTGCAAATAACAGATCGATACCGTATACGGTTTATGACGATTAACCGTGAAGAGAAAGGTAACAAGGTCGTACGCTGATATCCAATGGATTTTATACGTAGTAGTGATTCAGTGTTGCACACAGAAGGAATTAATTGGCATTAGAGAGAATCGCGGTGTCATAAATCCATCTCCATCAAGGATCTAGAAATTGATTGTATCGCCTGCGCGCGGAGTGCCTCGGTTCTTCGTCGCCCGTTAAAAACGCGTAAGCGGCATTCACAAATGCTAATTCGCGATCTAAAGATATAACCGTTTAAGAAATTGCGTTTTACAAGAAATCGCGATTTGCGAAGCGCTTTCAACACTATGAGGCGTCTCTGACTCATACAAAACACGTTAAATATCGCAAGATTAATGGTAAAAATATTACATTACCGTTCTCCGTGCGTCGGAAGTGTGCAACACACAAAGAACCGTCATAATTAGGTCTTCGTGATATATCGCTCTGTGTTACGTATTGCGCGTCCTAGAAAATTTATTTTTTCCAATAAGTAAAACATGCACACGTGTGCCCAACGGTAGTATATCAAATGAACTTGAAGTGTGTGCTTCCATTAAGTTTCCTCTCATAACAAGACTAGAATCGATAATTTACGGATTATATATATGTATATCGATGTATCGGCAAACAATGAAAAATAAGAATAGGCGTATTTACATCTATGCAAATTACGCGAGAAGTCATATATTTCTGACAAACGCAAAAATAGTGATGACATAGATAGATAGAAAAACGTGAATTCCGCGCTTTTTATCATTATCGTACGATCGCATCGTATGTATATATGTACACACAGAAATCCAGAAGTTGCGCTCAACAATTTAGAGAGATAAACAGTTTGTAGAAAACAACCTGCCAACAAAGGAAGTATAATCTGTCGCAATAATCACTTTCAATATAACGAAGCCTTGAAATAAAATTTATTTATTAAAAATAAGCAAGAGTAAGAGATATAGCATTTTTATAAAATACTTAAAAAATAAATTTTAAAATATGTCGAAAGATGAGTGTGTGTGTCATCTGTGATTCAATTCGTCAAAAAAAAAAAAAATTTGTGAGTTTTTGTCGAGAAAGATAGAAGAGCACGCGTTACTTCTGAAACACCCTATACACGTTTCCACGAGGGAGCGGGGGAGTCTCTGCAGAACGCTATTGCTTATATCGTATTGCTGCTGGTTGCCGGCGCCGGCAGTTTGTAATCGGAGTACGCCCCCCGAACTGCAAGATTCACACTTTTCCAATGATTGTCGCGCGAAAGTATTCCTGACCTGAGAGAACTCGAAGCGCGGTCATCGCGTCGCGACGTTATCGTATATAGAAAATCCTCCACGTTGTCCGGAGACGATCGGATTTCCCGAAGCGAGTGGGGTTACGTGCGATCCGCTCAGCGCGTCTCTCATGTTCCGCAGAACGGGCGCGTGACACGTATATAGATATAAATTTATTTGTATTTACACGCGCGAACTGACCGATAACGTGGCATATGTGTTCCATCCGAGTGACATAGCTGGCACACAACACGAAGGAACAAGTAATGGGAATCGACGGCATGAGGGTCGGCGGCGGCAGATGCCCGCCCCTCCTGGTCGGAGGACTTCTGCTGGCGTGTCTGTGGCTCACCTGCAACTGGTGGACTTTGTCTTCCGAGAATCTGGACCTCGTCAGGCAGATCGATGACTTAAACGAGCAGCTTAAGATCAGGTAACAAATCTGACTGATTGCTTTATGCCCAGCTAAGTTTTCTCATGTGATCTTGATTTTTGTCTTCGTTTCTTTATCTTTGTCACACTCTCTAGGATGAATGAAAGACTACTTTTTGTGCGGACTGCATCACATACAATGTCATTGTGTTTAATCATTGTTTAATTAAATATTTTCTGATCACCAAAGAGTTATATATATATATATATGTTACCATGTTACTTTCTTGAGTAGTATGTTTGTAATGAAGATAGCAGCTTACGAGGTTAATGTAAACATTAATTCTTAATATTTTTTGTCAATCATGATTATTTTCGGATTTATACGAACCAAGATATGAAGTTTCTTTTCATGAAACTTTTTGTCTGTGGTTTGCTCGCACAGTACGTGCAAACAACATTGTCTTTTTTCTTCGTATTCTTATATTTCCGAATCAGTAATATCAGTCATTGATGAGCGCACCACAATCTGGTTCTGACAAAAACTGGTTTTCTTTCTCAGTGCCGAAGAGAGAGATCAGTGCGTAACTCTAAGAGGTAACTTGGAGCAAAGGTATAAGCATACAGAAGATGAGTTGGCTTCTCTTCATGTTCGTTTGGATCAACAAATTGATCTCAAAAAGAAAAATGAGGAGCTGGAAGATTCGGTTACTGTGTGCAAAGGTGAGCTGGATTCCTTGACAAAAGTAGATGCCACTAGAAGTGTAACATTAGAAACATTGAGATTAGAAAAGGACACTCTTACTACTCAATTGAATGTAAAGCGGGATGAAAATAAAAAGCTTCAAGAGGATATAGAAAAGGTATGTGAATTTTTGTTATTTCTTATAAAAATTAAAAATAAAAAGATATGCAAGACAACTTATTGTTTATACTTTTTATGTTGTAGCTTAAAGGGGAAGTAGAGGAGCTTAAACTTAGTTGCAATTCACCACCGGATAAAAAAGAGACTCCAAATCTCCGACCACGTGAGTTATAACGAACATCTTTATTGTTCTAAACTTTACACACACATTTTTGATTTTTAACAACTTTTAAAGATTCTTTTTGAAAAATTGCATTTAGTATGAAAAGTATTATTTTTTGTTATAATATGAAACAAAATGCGATTTGCTTAAAAAGTTCTAATTGCACTCAGCTTCAATGACAAAGATAGAAAAATAATATCTCCTAGTTTGTTTGTTTTTTTACCTCGTCAAGTTTTCTCCCGTTAATTTTAACTCCGATTGTATGGGCTGCTCACGCAAAAATTAACGAGACTACAAACTCGTTTTTCCCTTTTGTTTGCACATTTTTTTTTTACTGGCTCAGCATTATAAGATATTGTCGGGGTTTGCTGATCTAGCAACGACAGGGATCACTAACAAGTCTCAGTTGCATCCTGTACCGGAGTCTGCTGTAAGAATAAACGTAGCTGGTCAGCGAGGTTTGCGGTACCACGGAATTCCGATCCTACCAACAGATCCACCTGGTGCTGTGCGCCTACCTCCTCGTTTCTCAGTGACTATGTTGAAGAAAGGTAGTGATACCTTTGCTCGTTTTCGAGACGAGAAAATCCTGCCACAGACATGAAATTAAGAGCTCACGATAGATTTGTATATAAAAAAATTCACATTTTCGTACTTGTAACTAAATCTTCATATTAGGAAAACACTCACATTGTATCGCTTCTAACTGAGATATGGTATCGCGTTCGGTCCTTTGGTTTTATTCTGATATTAATTGTCAAAATCAACAATCTAATATCGATTATTATTTTTTTTTATATAAGAAAATCAGGATTGTAACACGAAAGTGTTTATCTTTATAAAATAAAAGTGTAATATGTATTTGTTAGCTTCTTTTACGCTTCATTTCTTCGCAAGATCTAATATACATGTGTATTATAATGTATAAAATATAAAACTGGACAAGAGAGAGCAATCTCTGGGTTAGTAGGGTGCCATGCAAGTATTAATATTTTATTTTCTATAAATATTTGTATTTTATATGCCTTTTTTAATCTTGCTTTTTTAATTTAATTTTGAAAAAAAAACACATTTTTACATATCACAGAATGGAAGAAGATTTTTTTGCAATTCTACATATATTTATACAATGCTGTTGAATGCTTTGTATATTTATTATTTCTATCTATATTTCTCGCTGAAAACATATGGTTTATAATTAAATTATAATGGGCAGTTATAAGATGTTTATTTGTATGTAACTGTTTTGCGATTTACTTACACAGTTATAACATATAACAATTGTATTTGTAATAACAAATCTTATACAACTTATAATATAAAAAGTATTAATTTGTAAGAGCTACAGATTTTAATTTGTATTTTGTAGAAATATGAAGAATAAACAAATGTGATAAAGTAAAACTTTCAACTTTTTAAAAGCGCTTTGGGCATAAAAACTTCCAAAACAAACTTTGATACTTAACACTTTCAGCAAGATATTCCTGCTTTTGGTCTCCATTAAAAAGGATTGTGGTTGCGGATAATTATTATTACTACCATACATTGTGTTATGAAATATTTCTTTCTCTCTCCATATTAACATTATATATCACGCATGCATAAAGTGGAAACAAGAATTGATGGAAGTTGCATTTATCTCATTATAAATGTGTTATTTACTAACTTATTATTTATTAACTGATCTAAAACTAATATCTCTCTCTATTACTATACGTATCTAGTATCACTATGGATATTTTCTGGATAAAAAATCACAATTGAACTTTTTCAGAAACACACATGAAGTCATTATTTTAGTGTAGTAATTTAGTTTACGTGGCTTTCAGTTGAAACGGGTACGAAACAAATCAATGACACGTCGAATGACGCCGCAGAGCAGGGTATCCCAGATGCCGAAGGCTTGGAAGATCCTGACAATCGTGCACGTGGTAATTAAAACTTTAAACAGCGCAATCATATGCTAATTACTTTTTTGAACTTTCATACAAGTTGTGATAATCTATATGTATCACAATGAAAAGAATTTGTGACTTCTGTGATTGCTCTTAGTTTTATCTGTCGGAACTTGTTCTAAAATTTTGTGTTTTTTATATATTGTATTATAATGCTACGTATAGAAAACACAAATATTGTAGCAATAATTTTTTAATATTTTTTGTTATTGTAGTAGATAACAATGGAGATGAGATTCAGAGTACAGACGAGACTATGCTACTTCCGGAAAATTATGAGGAAGAGGGAAAAATGCAGGATGCCACAAACAAACCTGAATATAAAAATAATAATGTAATATAGAGACACAATAACAGCTTTGCAATAACTTACAAGTTATTTAGATTAAAATATTACAGATAAAATTATGTAAGTAAAATGTTTCACGGAAAAGTCACGGATCTTTCCGAGTTTGGAAAACAAAGTTTATATGTATTATGCAGTCATAATTCAGATATTGAATAACTGTATTCTACTCGATTATTTGTGATAGAAATATTTTTTATATATATGTTATTAAGTGAAAAAATATTTTCTATGTTATGAGAACATGAAGCACTATGCGCATGTGCCAAAATAAGTTTATTGTTTTTGATACACATGCATTTGTGGCCATATAAGTGAAATGAAATCTCTACGTGAAAACAAACGAATTATTGTGATTATTGAAAGATCTGAGAATGAGATTTACATAGAAATAACTTTTTGTACTGTTAGCAAATTTTGAAAATGAAATTTATACAATAATTTTTTAACGAGCCATACTTCGTGCCGCTTACAGAAGTGGTAAGCTATGTAACAAGTAGTTTGAATATTTTACACAAGAATGTAAAAGAAAAAAACAGTCGGATAAACAATCTTTAATTAAATAAATATCTTACTGTCTTCTCTTTTCTTCTTTTATTACAGACGCTTGATTTGTAACAAAAAATACTTATTTTCAGATCTCCTCTTGAATAAAGGTAAGTAATCGTTCAAGTTTGTAACAAATTTTGCAGTAACACAGAAATTACGTTGGCAAGAGTTATTATATTGATCAATTTTTTCGCAGCTTAATTTCTTTTTCAGATATTTCTTTTCTCAGTAGCATAAGATTATATTTTATTTTATTGTAAAATTATTTTGCATGTTGGTTAGCTTACATGATAAACGGTATCAATTTTTTTTCTGTATAAAACAATCATTGTATCCAAAATATATAGAGTTTACATAAAATTTTGTTACAATAATTATCTTATGTTTGGGCATTGCAAAATCTTAATAATTTCATATGAGATGCTCTCGCAACATGCAAGAACATCTTATGTGTTCCAATATGTTATCCGACTCTTACTGTTTACGAAGTAAAAAATCACACGTGTTCTTATATTTGAATTAAATTAAAAAAAAAAAAAAAAAAAAAACAAAGTAGCGTCTCCTGAAAATCATTGATTATCAATATTGTCCTCGCGCGCGCGTATACGTAAAAATTATAAGTTATATTATCTACGCACGCTTGTGCCTTATTACTTTTGTGTTATTAACTATTATGCTCACAATATTTGCATTATCATGCACGAGATCCATAATTCGCGTTATGTATATATACCATTTTATGCGCTTGTAATTTTACTACTCGTAGCTAACTGATAAAACGTCGCGACATATAAAATGTAATAACTAACGTTTGTTTTTTGTGTGTAAATATTTTGTATCTTTCTAATAGCTACTCAGTGCTTGTCTCATAATTTTTAATTGAGACGAGCGGTATTGTATAATACTTCTCTCGCTGATATGAAAGTAAGAATATTTTATGTTTCCATGTTATTTTTTATGTTTCCGTTCACACACATGAAGTTTTCTAAACACATGCAACTATACTTATTATCTCGGCATAATTATTTATATCGATACAACCTTTTTTTTTTTAATATGTTAATTTACATATTGCAAGGTCAATGCTGCCGGTAATACTTTGTATTCGCTGTTTACATATTCTCGCTGCTACTACCACTAATAATAATTATTAGTATTTTCTAATAATATATATATCTCTCTTTTTTTCTGTTTCTTGCAAATTATTGTATATGTTACAATAATAAAATATTATATACATATGTGTATAAATGTATTGTACGGCGTCAGAGCCGACGTTCAACGCACGCCGTTTCCCCCATTGTTTTCTGTTTTGTTTACTGGTGATGCACACATGACACCCGAGTTCAAGAACGATATTGACGTAAAAATAAATGTATACACTAATTATGTAATAAATGTATTCCCGACGCAGTAAACTGTGCGCTGAAAGCCCAAAGCTCGACCTAACATACCGTTCCTGGAGTCTCGAGTGTTATATGTTTATAGGAATAAAAAAACACAAGGAACCGAGAAAAAAAGTGGGAACGACAATAAACGCGTGAACGCGCCAAAAGCGTTGTTAGTGTCCGAAACTGAAAAAAATGCGCCTGCTCTGTACTAATTGTGTAAATGTTAATTTACTAATGTATGTGTATGTATATATATATATATGTATACACATACATACATACATACATGTATAAATATTCGTAATAAGTTTTCCTCATTACGATAACCATAACAGATTATTCGAAGGTGATGTAAAAGTGCACATTGGTCAACGGTTTTTATCTACAGAATTAAACTGACAAGATATAAATTAATGTATTACAACAAAATGCAGAGTGTGACTAGGAAAAATTAAGTAACGACTAGATAATTACTATGCGGACTACAATAGTTGCCTACATGATTTTTTTTTCTGATATTTATATGTGTATTAGTTCCCGTTTTTGTCTTTTATAGCTATGTCGCAAACATTTTGCCACGTCAATTCGTGAAATTAAAGAATAAATAACTGATTTATATTTATCTTTTTATGAAAAATCACGAATGGTGTATGGTATATATATGACTCTATTAACTTCTCTTGAATAGTTGCGTATACGATGATTCGAGGCATTTATTATATATGTTCAACTATTTTACCACAGATATCTATGAGTTCTGCTCATGCCTGTATGAATTTCTGTACTTGCGACGCACAGAAATGATGTAATATCTCGTGTTTATCATCAGTTTTTAATTGTTCATGATGTGTACATGTTTTTTTTTATCGTAAATTCTTTTAAATAAAAGAGAGACACTAACAATTCTAAACTTTGCAACTTATTGTAACTTTCGTGTAGCTCTCGTACGTAATTTTTATATAGCAGCGCGTATTCTAAATTTATAATATAAAATACTCTTTTTTTTGTATATATATTTATATGACGTCTCGCGCGTATTTACATTTTCGAATTAGTTAAAATAAATAAAAAAAAAAAAAAAAAAAAAACGCGATTTTTTTCACATTCTTCCAGTGATTAATCGTACAATAGTTCGCATCGTGAAGCTCTCGCATAATATCTCGCACTTCTGCCGTCCCCTGTATAGTTTTGCGCTTTATATTAACACTCCATCTACTTTTCTTTGGTTACACAGTCATGTATTACGTACCAACTAAAATCTAAATATCTCCTACGATATCAGAGAAATAGTTGGAATTCTATCTATCCGTTTGTTTTAGGCTCTTGTTTATCTCCCGTTTTATCGTTACCAAACTTCGTGAAGAAGTTTGTTTTATGTTAACTGAAAAATTTATTAGCTTTCGAAAAAACACAGCTATTTTGAAAAACAATCTCAAAATATGTCGGAGGTATATTTGCTCTATGTATACACTACGGGGGATCGTATCTCTATTGTGTGTACATATCACTATGTCTTCTATGTTTCTTCTTATTATTGAGCAGCACAAGAATGTTTGATCTGTCCGACATTTCGGATCCAAGAAACAAGTTGCAAATCATGCATTCCGAAGTCGGCCCAACAATTTTTCATTTTTACTGTGTAACTTTAAATATTAAATGTCGGGGTCAATGATAAGGCAGTGAGATGTTGACGATTCGTCAGTCTCTAAACAAAGGAGCCTACATCACGCGAACTATAAATAAAACCTATCAGGCAATATACCTACTCTTCGTTGTGATCTGACACAATGCTTATTATTCTTGTCAAAGCGCTATATTCTCTATCGATTTACACGGTTTTTTTCTTTCCCTTTTTTTTTGTTTTTTTTGTTTTTTTTTTGTTTTTTAATAAAAGACTCACTATCTCGAAAATGCGATTTTATGGCGAATGATGAGAAGCGTGTCTTCTGCGTCGAAATATAAAAGCGAATATCGAACGAATTCGCCACCAACGGCTGCGTTTGCGATGCGAGTTGCGGGATCTCTCCTTCGCGCGAATCTGCCGAACTAACGAGAAGAACGCGTCATCTACAAATTGTCTGAGCGCGGCGGATGTCTCATAGAACGGACAGCCTAGCTCCTCCGCCACCGCTTTGCCCTCCTCCGTGGTCACCTGAAAGAAGGCTTCGCGTTCAATGTATGTGTGCGGGAAATCAATACCTCACGTTGTTGTTCGCTGTGACATATTCTGAATGAACATTAGACATCATTGTGTGCGACGGTCAATCCTCGACAACAATTTTGACATACCCTTCGCTGTAATTGTAGATCGGATTTATTGCCAACCAGCACTAGAGGAGTGTCCTCGTTGGCGCGCACCCGCGATATCAGCTTCTTATACTCCAACGTCTCCTGAAAGCTGTGTCTATCTGTCACGGAATAACAGATTATAAAACCCTCGCCGCATCTCATGTATTGCTCGCGCATTGCCGTGAATTCCACCTGGATACATAACACAGAAAAAACGTTCCCAGTTTGTAAACATTAAATAAGAATCTTGGAAAACACATAGACGTATCGCAGAATGTTGTTCTGGTCATTGTAACATACATAAGAATCTCGAACCTGTCCAGCTGTATCCAAGATGTCCAACAGAGCTGCTTCTCCGTCGATGACCACTTGCTTCTGATACGAATCCTCTGCGCACAGAAAGAAAAACAACATCTTGAATTAACTCAGGTTCACATAGACAATTAATTACTTTAATCAAGTAAGTTGTTTTACACAGAGAAATATAAATTACCTATAGTGGGATCATGATACTCTAGGAACCTGTGACTGACAAACTGGAGAGTGACAGCTGAAAGAGATTTCATCCCCGTATAAACAAGCAATTAATACATCACGCGCGTTTAATACAGACACGCGTTTCAATATACGTCCAATCGGATACCTGACTTGCCAACACCGCCGTCACCCAGCACCACGATCTTGTAGACCCTGAGCCCACGTCTGGTGGTGGACTGTGTCACCACCGGCACGTCGTCCTTGCCATTACAAGTGACAACACATCTATCCTGCGTAATGTCGTCGTCCGTCGCCGCTGTTACTGACATCACGACGGTCCGTCAATTGTGCATATCGGTGAAAAAAGAAAAAAACCTCGCGCGCGTGGCCTAGCGATCGCGTCGACACACTTCGACGAAACGGCTGGTACACTTGATCGCGCCGTATCGGAGCATGACCGAATCGGCAGACACACCCGTGCTGTCGTTGACGGACGCACCGCGACGAAAAACGTGGCTCATGTTTAGAACACGAGGAAAAAGCACAGCTAGAATTTAAATCGCGACGTATTGGACGCAAAAGGAAAAACGCGCACCGACCGCGTCACATTCATTACCAGACTCAACGCGCGGTCCGCGTCCGCTTGACAGTCCAGAATCGTGACAACCGCGAGACTAGAGCGTGTTTACGCCATGCGCGCGAGCGTCATCGACGATTCAGGGTCGTACCGTCATTTGTCAATATCAGGTATCATGTGTCATACATGTACATATTATATTATACGATATACGTAATCAGCTGTGGAGCCTATCTAAGGTATTTGTATTTTTTAGATTGTGACATAAAAAAAGTTGCTGGATAATTAATGTTCACACTATATGATCGTAAGTGTTAAATAAACATATAAAAAGTCTAGAATTGTTTGGTTAAGGATAAGATTTGTTTTGTCACAAGTTTTATATATACATATGTGTGTATAACAAGCCATCTGATATATATATATATTTATAGTTCGAATTTTTATATATGCGATTAGTGTTTTTCTATATCTGATGATTATCACACATATACGTTTCGACACAATTACGAATTACAAGGAAGATAAAAATCCGGTTTGCTTTGCGATAGGAATGTGTGTTCTCCAAAATTGCGAAGCGAGATAGCGGAAGAGGAGGAGGCGCACGCGGAACCGTAGATTCGTCAGATCGCCACCAGAAGCCTCCGCAGTGTTCCCAGGACGAGTATTAGGGATACACCTTGGAAAAGGACGCCGCCATGCTTTAGGAGATGTGCCTGATTTCTCCGCGAAACAACATGAAACATACCGTCGAGTGTCACGGAACAACCAAATAACGGTGCTGATTGATTCGCGTTTAGAATCGAGTGATTGTCGAAACGAATCAATCTGACGAGTCGTCAACCGAGCGCGCGCGAGGGAACGGAGATCTGAGCACCGCGGACGGGCACATTCGAGGTTATACACACCAGCTGGGGTGCGCAATCAGTATCTCAAACACTATGAAGACTGTTCTCGATGAAGCGAGGGTGAGCGCCGTATGTGTACACAAATGTCAACTTGCGCTGCTGTTCGACAACTTCATCGGTGAAACCGCAGCTCGCTCGCATCGCGCCCGCATTACCGAGTCGATCGTGCAGCCAGCACCGCTGGTGTATTGTTTGGCAGATTGTTATCCGAAGGCGGGAAACATATGGAGGTTTTAACAATCGTGTGTACGTAGCCGAGACATTGAAATGAGTAAACACACACGTCGCACCGGCGTTACGCATGGCTGCTCCTTGCCGCACTGAATTTTTGACTCAGCGTTGCACGGCGGAAAGTCATTATTACACACACACTCATTCCTAACTGGAGAACAGAACATACACAATTAGTGGATTCCATGTTTTTAAATATCGTTGAACAGGGTACAAAATATAGAACTAGAACATAGAGAATGAAAGTTAGCGCTGAGAATTTCCTAGAAGAGATTTATAGTTAACACGCATGTTGCGTAGAGGTGCGATATATATTTAAATGGTAAGTTGGTTTAGATATCGCTTGTGTTAGATATCTCATCAATATATTTCTTTTTTTTTAAGCTAATGTAAAAATATTATTAATTGATTTATATATATATTTCAGATCATAGAGAATCTTTATTCATCTTAACATGACATAATTATTAGTCAATTGCTCCAACATGAGTGTCATATAGTTAAAGAGAACAAAAAAAAAAAAAAAAACCATCATGTGCAATAAGGACTGACAGATGTGTCAATATATATCCTAGTGATTCGGTAGATAAGTAGAAAAGAAAACAATGTCAGTTCCTTCCTGCTCAACAAGTAAAGAACCGGATGGTGTAAATACTAAGGACGAAGTTATATACGAAAAATGGGAACGTTTCAGTAATTGGGTGCATTGCATATGCATTGTTACTTTCGATTTAGAATTGGGTCAAGCTATAGAGGTACAATTATATCATGTAGATATAGATGTGTAAAAATATTTTGATATTTTACTTATTTTAATATTTAAAAAATATTTTAATATATTCTAAATATTTTACTAAATATTATAAATACAGGCGATTTATCCAAGCCATGTTAAATTATCAGAGCAAGAGAGATCAAATGTCTGTTACTTAGCCTTTCCCGACTCAAATTCTGGATGTATGGGAGATACTCAGTATCATGTAAGAATCAGACAGAATAGCAAAATGGTACAGGAAACCAATGCTCTCAAGGAATACAATAGAAAATCATCTTCTTTCCTGCAAACAGATAAAGATTATTATTGGGGATACGTTTATTTTCGACAAGTGAAGGATAAATCTTTGCCCAGAGGATATTTTCAAAAGGTCTCTTCTCTCACTTTTTAAACATCATTAAGACTTGAATGTAATTTATTCGATCTCATAACACGATTTGTGTGATCGCGTTTTCAGAGTGTTGTTATTATTACAAAACTGCCATTTGTTAATTTATTCGGAGAATTATGCGCTTTGATAGCACCGGAATTTTTTGAGGCTGGAATGGCGCTTATGGAGGCTGTGATACGAGAAATCGATCACTGGCCTCCTCCGGTTCCAGGCCAGATAGTTCACTTACCTCTTATTGGTGTCTTATTTCAGGTAATAAAACGTAACTGCAAAACCTATAAAAGTTTAAGCGAAATATTCTTCCATGTGTACATTTGAATTCATTTCAGACATACATCCCAAATCAAAATTACAAGGCCACAATCCCGTCGATTGCTGCCATGGAGCATGCACCAAACGTGCACGCGACGCGAAGACTGATTTTGACGTCAGCATACGAGGGCGACATGTTCCGGAGTCTAGCTAGTGTTGTTAGTTACGTACATTTACTGTGGGAGCTTGTACTTCTTAGCGAGCCAATTGTCGTAATGGCTGGTTCGCCGACTACGTGTTCTGAGATGGTTCAGGCACTTATAGCGTAAGTAAATAAGACACAGCTTATTGTACTTAATGTTGGGCTAAATACTTGCATACTGAAAAAATATTATAACTGTGTAGGATGATCGCGCCGTTGAAATACTGCGCCGATCATCGCCCGTACTTCACTATCCACGATTCGGAATTCAAGGAATACACGGCCGATTCGCCGACGCCACCCGCGGTGATACTAGGTGTGACCAATCCATTCTTCGCCAAGACTCTGCAACACTGGCCGCACATAATCAGGATCAGCAACGGCAACAACAGCGGTAAGTTCTATGACGCTCGCTCGCAAATGGTGTGTTCAAGATTGTTTATGTTTCAGAAGATCAGAGATACAAAATCAAGAAGTCGGAGAATCTCAAGGTGCTAGACTCGAAACCGGGCGTTTACACACAGTACAAGCCGTTTCTGCAAAAAGACAAGACCATTTTGAAGAAGCTGTTCAGAGGCGTTCAGACAAAACGTCCGGGTGAGGTGCAAACCGCGCTCCTCAAGCGTCACTTGATGGAATTAACGGAAAGTTTCATGATACCGCTCGAGAGATACATCGCGACTCTCATGCCACTTCAAAAAAACATATCACCTTTCAAGGTAAGTTAGAGACATGACATTTAATAATTGTAGAACGTGAAATCATATTCCTTTTTCTTCAGGCAACTCCCACTCCGCAAATGTTCAATCCAGATGACTTTCTCGCTAGCTTGAGTAGCTCCGGTCCTCAACTGACTACGGGCATTAAAGGAGATTGGGTGGGATTGTACAAACGATTCTTTCGTTCGCCCAATTTCTCTGGATGGTTCCACACGAGATATACAGAATTGAGTCAACAGCTGCAGGTTAAGCAGTTGGAAAAGTTATCGCAGGCAGTATGTAACTAATTGTTTTCTATATTTTCAATTTTTTTTTACTAATATTTACACAAAATTTGTATTTTTCTCATATTAATATGTAACAATCGTTAAACAGGATTTGAAAACGTGGGTACAGGGAAAGCACGAGGTGGAAGTGGTCGACATGATTCTCAGAATTCGCCAAAAATTGGAGAAGAGCTGCATCGATGACGTACCGATCGATAACTCGGTTCGAGAAAAATTGCGAGAAAGAATAGATGATATCACACACGTATTGCCGGACGATCTAAAGGTTATTCTGAGACAGGAATCCTGACAGTACGATTACGTTATCAATATCAAAACTCGTTAACATTACATTTAGTTCTATGTTAACATAAATTTCGTATATTTAAGAGACTCACAGACGTAATGTTTAAGCTGAAAAAATTTAAAATGCTCTAATCTCTTTCCTATTTATTACGATGTAAGTGAAAGAAAAAGGCGTGTCACACAAGCCTGTCTACTTATAGTTACGTTGTGGTTCGAGAATTTGTACAATTAATTATGTTATGATAATGTACTACTACTAACATACGTAATTTAATTCGCAATTTGAAATACTCGCTGCTCAGATCGGTTGAGGTAAATCCATATATACAGTAATCTCACTTTTATACTACATACCGTGTACGTATCATAGATTATCAGCGTCAACACATTTTTTTATACACAAATATTTTATAAACCTTATATAATCTTTACACACAATCTTGCTCTGTTACGTTACAAACTGGATGTAGCGCGGCCATTCAAATCTTATTTACAATGCCAATTTTTGACCAAAGCTTCCTTCATTTATGTGATCAAATCATTCCGGTTAGTGATTATCGCATATACAGTAATCTCTTTTTCTTTTAATTGTTAAGAATCTTGACAAATACTCGGAGGAAGATAAGTAATAATCTCACATGGGCATGAATTTCAACTCAACTAGAGAGGGTGTAAAAATACGAAACGTTACGTTACGAGTGATGAATGTGTACATACAAATTTTTGAGATCTGTGTAAATAAAATATTTGTACAAACATGTAATGCGTAATAAAAAAAAAAACTTATTTTGATAAACGGGTTTGAGGTATTTATTTTATATCTGCCTTATCTGTGTTATATACGCATTCTCTCTGCAAACGCATTGAAGAGAAAGAAGGAAAACAAAAAACAAAGAAGAGAAAGGAAACGATAATACACATTTTACCTTACAAGAGGTAATATTTTATTTCACTTTTATTTCTTACGATTTTTTTTATTGTTACACATTCTCCCAATTACATTAATAATTTCTTCAATAGGTTTTTGTGTCTTAAATGCTTGCGCCATTTTTATATTATATTCTCATTATAATATATCCATAATATATTATCATACTTTCAATAGAGTCAACAACATATATATATTTATCCATATGTATACGTGTATACATATATATGTATATATATAGATATCGGGTATATGTTCATTTTTCTTTTTTCCTCATGAGTGTGTGAATGCACAGTACCGTAAGGATAGCTTTTTTTTTTTTTTATTTTATTACACAATTAATTCACAAAGTTCACTTTGTTGTAATTCTGCCGAAGTACACCTCGATTTCTGTGTGTGGCCATCGCGTTTATCTTCTGCGGAAAGTAGGACAACCTTGGTTGCGCGCGGAAATTTCAGGGTGCTCTTTTTTATCTCGTTTCGGCCGGAGAGAGAGAGAGAAAGAGAGAGAGAGAGAGGGAGAGTGAAGGAAGGGAAATCTTTTTTTTTTTTGTCGCGATTCTTGTGTATTTATACAGTCGAAGGATTCGAGAGGGGGAATGACGGAAGTCCCGGACTCGAGCCGCGCGTTAACAATAACAACAACAATAATAATAATAATAATAATATAAAGAGTTGGATAAATGCGATTATCGCCCTTACTTCGACAGACTTTTTAGGCCTGGGTATATGAATCGCGTGTCTGTTTAAGTAAATTTTACAAGGCTTCTATCAACTAACGCGAATGAAAAAACTTTACAACGAGCTTGTTGAGGAGGGGAGGGCGGGAGAAGATGAACGCGCGGATGAAGCAGCGTGTCTGAGGGAATTGCGCGCGCGGATTTTCTCAGGTGTGTGTGTGTGTGTGTGTATGTGTACGTGTGTGTGTAAAGAAGACTAGTAATAATCTCGCACGCGCTGAAGAAAACGGTCTCGTCGCGCTTCTTTTTTTTTCTTTTTTTTTTCTTTTTTTTTTTTTCAAAGTGGCTACTCGAAAAAGAGGGGTAGAAAAGTCGTGGCGTACAAAGTGACCGAAAATCCGGACTCAGCACAGCGACGCACGCACAACAAACGTTTCAACAGGAAACGCAACGACCTGCTTTTTTTTGCTCGACAGCTCTATTCCCTGATTGGAATTTACGGCAGGATAATAAAACTTACTTTTTTAATATATTTAACAAAAATGAATGAGAAAAATATTTTTTCTTTATTCGAAAAATTACGAATAATTAGAGAAGTTTGTTCACCAAGAAAAAATAACAGATTTTAGACTGTATATTCTCTTCGGAGGAAATCCCGCCGTAAATCCGGTCATTTTCACATTCTCTCTCTTTATCGTTCACTTTGATCCGACATTTGTTCATCTTTCCGCAAGTGTCTCCTCCTCGTGTCCCATCACATTCGTTTCACCGACACTACGATAACAAACGTGAGCTCTCGATATATTCTACTTTTCTGCGTATTTTCTACTTTTTGCTGCGTTACTCGTTGCTCCGCACACGCGATATATATTTCTTTCTGCGATTTTTCGAAATTCGAGATCCGTTTGTCTGCACGGAAAAGATATCCCAGCGTGAATCTCGATTCGTTTTTTTTTTTTTTTTTTTTTTTT